CTGTGGTTCTCCACAGAGAATGCCACTTCCAGTACCGGGCCCTCCCGTTCGGTCTGGCATCAGCCACCCGCACCTTCACGAAGGTCCAGGTGGCATTGGCGGCTCACCTGCGCTCGATCCCGGTGAGACTCTAATGCTACCTAGACAACGTGTTAGTCCAGGCAGGTTCTCTTCATCAGGCAAGGTCCAGTTTCCGGTTCATCATCCAATGCCTCCAGTCCCTGAGGTTCTCCATAATTTTTCCAAAAAGCCACCTGTCCCCGTCCACTCAGATTCTCCACTTGGGGACAGTCATAAATTCAGAAACAGGGATAGTGCAGCTCTCCCCAGAATGCCTGGCCAGTCTTTGCCAACTAGTAGCCTTGGTCTGCAGAAGGTGGTCCGTTTCCATCCTGACCTTGTCTCAGCTACTTGGCAAAATGGTATCCTGTATAGGGATAGTTCCTTGGGCCAGACTGCACCTACAACCTCTCCAATGGGCCCTAATCCCATTCCAGAAGAGGCGTTTGAGCAATTCCACCAGGACTTTGCGATTACCACCAGAGGTCCAGTCCTCTCTCCTGTGGTGGTTGTCCCCAGCAGTACAACGGAGGGGCTTGTTCTGCGAACTGGACAGAGTGACAGTGACAACCGATGCGAGCCTTTTCAGCTGGGGAGTGGTAATGGACTCCAACATAGCCCAGGACCGGTGGACTGCCGTGGATCTCCGCCACAATATAAACTGGCTGGAGTTGAAGGTGTCGCGGCTAGCCCTCTGACACTTCAAACATCACTCCAAGGTCAACATGTTCTGCTTCTGATGGACAACGTAGCCATGAAGGCACACTTGAACCATCAGGGGGGGACGCATTCCCGGGCCCTGTGGCAGGAAGCCCTGAGACTGGGTTCATGGGCAGAGTGACATCTAGCATCGCTAGTGGCAGAGCACATCTCCAGGGAGACGAATCACCAGGCAGACTGGCTGAGCCGGGCAACTCTGGACAATGGTGAGTGGCAGCTCCTCCCCAAGCTTTTCCAGAAGGTCTGCCAGAAGTTTGGCACCCCAGTGGTGGACTTGTTTGCCACGCCAGAAACGCTCAACTGCCATGCTTTTTCTCCCGGTTCTGGTCCTGAGAAACAGAGGGCACGGATGCCCTCAGGAGCAGCTGGCCGTCGGGCCTGCTTTATGCCTTCTCTCCCATTCCCCTCATTCCCGGGACAGTCAGGAAGATAGCCAGGGAAGGGGCTCAGATCATCCTTCTTGCTCCATACTGGCCCAGGAGACCATGGTTCATGCACCTGGTCCAGTTGTCGGTGTCTCCCTGATGGAGGATACCTCGGGAGGAAGTCGCCTTGTGTCAGGGGGTCCTGGTACATCCAGAGCCCCAGTGGCTCCACTTGACCGCCTGGCACTTGAGCGGCGCCTCCTGAGGAGTGCTAATCTATCCGCAGCGGTCATAGCCACCATCAAAGCCTCTAGGCAGCCCTCCACCACCAGAATATATAACTCCACCTGGGGGGCGTTTGTCAGATGGTGCACTAACCACAGTCTCGAGCCTTCCAGGGCTTCGGTGTCTGATGTCCTGGAATTTTTGCGAAAAGGTTTCGAGGACGGCCTGTCCCAAAACACTTTACGTAGGCAAGTGGCCGCTTTGGCCACAGTACTGGGGGGGGGAGGGATCACATACACTTTCCCATGGGCCCCTCATAAAGCATTTTCTCAAGTGGGCTGCTAATCTTTGTCCACCCCCGATCCATAGATTCCCGACCTGGGACCTTCCGCTGGTCCTCAGGGCTTTGACTGGGGAATTGTTTGAGCCTCTCAGGATGGTTCACATGCGTCTGGTCACCCTTAAGGTGGTATTTCTGGTAGCTGTCACCTCTGCCAGACTTATCTCAGAG